AATGCCTGGGCTATTTTTCATAGTCCTAAAGCCTTAAAAAAGGTGCCAAACAAAATGAATTTAATTTTAAATAAGGATTTTAATGTCTCATGGGGAGGATTTGATTTTTCAAGGCTTCTAAAATCTACTTGCCTGACTGCCAAAAGCAAGTTTACTTTTTAACCAAATTAAGAGCATCTATTTCTACAGAGCTTTTTCTTCTACCTGTCTTACTTTATCCTGCTTTGCCCACTGTGATGGTTTGGAATAGAATATCAGATTTTATACAGAATGAAGAAATTAAATGAAAAGACTTCCTGCTATAACTGGCAAATGTCACTGGAATATTAGGAAAAGGAAAGAAATCTCATTTCAATTAAGGAAATGACCATTAATGGAAGCTTACTGAATGGACCCTTAATTCACTTTCTTTCCTTGCAATGTTTCTGTGGGATCTAAGTAGATACACTATTTGTGTTTGGGAGGTAAAGATTAGCTAACTCCTCTCTGGATTACATTTGGAACATTCAATTCCAGTACAGGTCAAATTCTTTTATTCTAAGAGCCACGGCAAACAGTACAATGTAATGAAAATTATCCAAGCCCTGGCAGATGATTCACAGTTGTAATGCTCTCTGAATGAATGAATTACAACAATATTTGCTACTATCAAATTCAAGCAAACTTGTAATTTTTCCCCAATCCTTGCCTATATAATAATATTTCATCAATAAGAAAATAAGAGATTAAACACCTGATAAAGAAGTGTGGTGTGCTGGGTAGAGTAGTGGATTTAAAATCAGATGTCTTGGTTAGATTTTCAGCTTTGCCACTTACCTTTCTCACCACAGGAAAATTCTTAACACAGGTTTTACTTCCAGTACTTACCATCCATCAGTAAAATAATCAATATGCTTTGCAAACTGTAAGGCAATCTGCAACTGGAAAGCATTCCCTTAATCAACAAGTTGACAATTTAACAACAGTTCCTTTTAAATCACAAACACTATTCCTTAACTCCTTACACTGGTTAGCCACATCTATTCCAACAAGACATTTTTTTGGATCATTCTGTGAAGTCTGAGTTTGTTTCCAAAACAATTCCCTGCCAATGACTCAGAAGTATTTTGTTCTTGTTTGGTGATTAGGGAGGGCAAAAGAAAGCAAGAGATATTGTTTGAGTTTTTATGCATGTGTGATATTCTGGTGTGCTTAATTATAGTCCTGGTCCTTGTTTAAAGTAGATGTTTAGCTAGAGGCTGAAATTCTTATCCTGGGAGCATCACTCTTAAAATAGAATGAACGCAAATGAATAATGATCACCAACAACATTATTTAACTTTGAGTGAGGTCTTCTTTAATTGTTATAGGTCAAATACCTCATTACTCCAAAGGACTGTCCAATTTTGGAGGGTAGAATGTTGACCCATCAATGGTGGCTGGGAAATCTCTGCCATATGGAGATCCTATTCTAGTAATTTATAATAAATAAGTTCAATACAATAAAACAATTTGCTCTTAGCATCTATAATTTATACCAACAGGCTTTAGCAGTAGTACATTTCAAAGAAGCTTAGGCATCCTTCACGCTGATAACTGTCTGAAATTTCAAAAGTTAATTAATACAGATTTTTTTGCTTTTGCTTTTTAATACCAAGTGCTATCATAACATTACTAATTTGGCTGAGCATTTCTCTCACCCCTCCTAAAGCTGCCCTTTTCATCTTCCTGTCTCTTGAATGAAAAATCAGGGAAATTTTCACATCAAGTCATTTGGAACTGTGAATATCCACATCAGGTAAGGTACTAAAAGAAGCAAAAACTCATACACGGATTAAGCATCAGTCTAAACCACACAAGAAACTACATTCTCCCAAATGCTCATACCTATAACCCATGTGTCTAAAATGTGAAGACTTCATCTTCAATAAATACTTTAAAATTATTTCAGTTTTTTAAAAAAATCATGTCCACGTTATATATCTGGGTGTTTCTTTCTAATCAATTTGAACAAATGCCCTTAAAGAAATTACTTATATGTAATGTGACTATAGGTAAATAAGATTATGTATTAATTTTTTGTTGCATGGAAAAAGCTGTTCCACTGATTTATAATCGCACTTCACTTAAATAATAAACAGATCCCAATTATAAAGATTCCAACTCTGAACAACCATGTAAAGTACTTCAAACAAAAGTAAAGACTAACTAAAAAGTGGGATTTGAGAATGGAGAATTTTATTTTATCTTTGTGTTTCTAAATGTAATAATAACAGTAACAACGATAATAGCTATATAATAATTCATGTATAGTGCTTACTATGTGCCAGGCACTATTTTAAGCACTTTCCATACATTATAATTATTTTTTGAGATACATAACTCCTAAAGAAGACTGTGCCTTTGGTTTCTCTGTCATAATATTTTTTGTTTGTTTGTTTCTTAACGTGATCTTTTTTTTTTCCAATGTTAGATAGGAAGATGAAGAGAGATTGGAAATGGGTGAAAATTATCTATAGCTTTATAGTAAAAAACAATCAGAATTATTCAGCCGTTCTTCACACAGACAACATTCTACCACATCTATTTACATTTAAATGCTAACCAAATTCACTTCCTTCAATAGGCTGCTTCACCACCCTCATCCCCACCCCCACTCCACCATTTCTTCTATATATCTTAGCAAATTATGGGCAGAATTCACCCTCAGGACCAATTATTTTGCAAAAAACTAAATCATCAGCTTAAACTGTTGAAATTTAACTTCAGCATTTTTTTTTTTTTTCCTGCTGGCTGGTCCAGGGATCCAAACCTGTGATCTTGGTGTTATAAGGCTGTGCTCTAACCAATTGAGCAAACCAGCCAGCCAACTTCAGTATTAATCCAATGAAACAATAATAATATCTTACATTTGTAAAGTACTTTGACGTTCCAAAATCCTTTCACATTGATTTGCTTATTTCAAACTAAGCGCCTGCCTCTCTGTGAGATATAGCTTCCTTGCTGTAGTCTCTCAATAAAGTTAGAAATTCCCTCACTAAACAATACATTTGGAGAATGTTAAATCTCCAAAATTGCTACAAAGTCATAAATTAGTAATTTATGCTAATATAGTGACCACTGGATCTAGATAATCCTCAGGAAGTCAGAGATTATTTGAGGAACAATAAGATTTCATTAATTTTAATCTTTGCTTAAACAAAGAATAGAATATTGGAAAGTATAGAAAAACCTCTATGAAAACTCATCTTTTTCAAAGTATCACAGAGACAGAGGCAGCTATGTATCACCTACATCAAAATTATAAATGGTGTCTTCAGTAGTTAGGCTCAAACAATAGCTTGAGTCCAATTTTCAGGTGTATTTTACAGAATAAAACAGATCTGTTCCTGAAAAGCTGATTATGAATTAAATTCTTAGAAATGTAAATATATGTTTTAAATGCATCGGTATAGTAGTAACTCTAGTGGTGATTGCGTGTGTGTGTGTGTGTGTGTGTGTGTGCGTGTGTGCGTGTGTGTAGGTTCACAATTTAAAGGAGATCTGAATTGAATCCTTTGGCAATCCAAAGCATCCTTTTGTCATTTTAATGATCACTCTTTAATGTGTACGTGCTGCAAATGTGAGTTTTTGTATGGCAAGTTTTCTATAGCAGGGGGAGAAAGGGGAGGGCCACACCTGCACTAAATAGGGAGCTTGTTAGGTGACTGTTGTGATCAGTCCCCAACTTGTTCTGCCTGATCAAGCACAGTGGGCAGAGATCCAATCACAAAAGCATTCCACAAAGCAAGCAAAGCAAAAATCTTCACTAAACTGACTACTGGAATGAAAGCTGCCAGGTCCCTCCCTTCCTTTCACTGGGAAGAAAGCATATTCTACTAAAGAGGAAAAGCAGTTGAGACTATGGAGACATTTTCCGCAATCACTTTTTGAGAATGTCTTAAGACACACTAATGACAAGATTGCCCAATGCTGTACAAAGCAGATTTACTTTAAGTCTTGTTTCCAAGTCCAAGAGCTCCTACTCTTTCTCACTTCTTCCTTTGGAAAAGTAAGCCCTTTAAAAAACTCCCACTCTTCCAGGGTAGGCTGCCCCTAGAATCAGGTCTTACCCCAGCACTGTTATCTTGCTTTCTTTAATTCCCCAGAAAACACACCAATGAAATGTTTTAAATGTTTTTTAAACCTTTGAAACAATATGCACATCCATTATCAAGTTGTCACCACACCCTCTTTTGGAAAGGTGGGGGGTTAAAATAAGAAAATGCACAGCAAATGAGACTTGCCTTTACTACTAGTGACAGAGAAAAGGAACACTGAAGGTTTCTGGCAATTTATCCTGTATAAAAACAAAAAAAGATCAACACAAAAACACATTCCAGAGCCAAATACTGTCCTTCTTAAAGCACCTGCTGTTCTGGATTATTTATGTTTTGTTCCCCCCAGGCATGCGTGCTAACAATTGAGATTTAACTTTCTCGGTAAATTACAGCAAACTAGCATAACAATGACTGCTTTTTAAAAAGTAATTTGCAGAGAAGAAAGTTATCCTCCCCAAACATTAACAGTTGATGGTTACTGTTTAATAGTCTGTGCTCTTATTCAATCCCAACACTTAAATATGGGCATTGTAGAAAAGCAGCTTTTAGTTGTCGATTTGAAAATGTTGATGAAACTCAATTAACGATGTCCTGCTTTGCATTATAATTTCGTGATGGGGAAGGATGTTTGAAAGCATCCTCGAGCTATAGGTCCTTGAGTTTTAACTACTCCTAAGAAGTAGAACCAATGTTTAAATGATAATCGATTTTGTCCAGATAAAGAGATTTTTGATTAGATAAAATCTTAAGTTTATGCAAAGATCAAAAAGGTATTGCGTGAATAATTAAAACTGAATTCTGCCCTCCATGTCAAATAGCACCAATTAATGAACTATTACCTCACGTGTCTAACACCGTAGCCAGTAGCGCACCGATTCATTAAGCAATGACCATTAACTTTAGGGAAATTAATTCTAAAATTTACCAACCTCTTTTGGGAGAGTCGAACTTCTTGTTGTCAAGTCTGGCAAAGTCCATTGTCACGTAAATGTCGTCGTCGTCGTCGTCAGAATCTTCTCTCACCGGGGGTCTTAGCACCCGGCGAGGGCGAGGTGGTGGTGTGGGAGGCACAGCTGCAGCGGCAGCCCCACCCGCCCAGTTGTCACCTCCGGAGGCGAGGTCTGCAGATAGGTTTTGGGCTCCAGGGTTCGAGCCACGGGCGATGTATCGGGCTCCCCTTGGGGTTTGGGCATCATCAGCATTAGCAACAGGTTGAAACCAGCGGGCGGAGGCGGAGTCAAATCCAGCTGCGGCCTCGAAGCCCGCGGCGGCTACGCCGATGCCCGGCGCCGCGGCGAGCGCCGAGGCCGCCGCTAAAGCCCGGCCCACGGCTAAGGCTGGAGCTGCTGCCGAAGCTGCAGCGGAGGCTGAGGCGGCGGCAAGGTCCCTCTCGAGGCTATCAGTTGGAAAAGCGGAGACAGCGGCTCTGGCAGATGTAAAGAAACTTTGCGAACGGCTATGTGGGCGTCTTCTCTCTTGCTCTTCTTCCTGCAGCAGCCTAGCTACAGGTGGTGGTTCAGAGCATCGGCTGGAGGAGAGAGAAATGTCCACACAGCACTCAGAAAATGGGTCGGCCACATACATCCGACCTGTTTCAGCATCATACCGAATGGCACTGTCAGCAAAAGGCACGGCTGGTGTCATTGCTGGGTTGAAAATTACTTCAGTGTAGTCACCCTCTTCCCCGTTAGCATTGCTACCTGTAGCACTGAGAGGAAGAGGAGGAAATGGCCACCTACCACCGTCCAGATATACGGGGTTGGCACCTGGTATAGCTCTTAAAAGACATGAGAGGTCGTTTGCTGGATTTGGAAACGGCACTCCGAACTCAACATTCACGTAATGTGAAAAGGCTGACTGTCTTGGGTCAGCAATTATACGCCACGAATGTGGCAGTCCTTGAGCAGAGAGGACTGGCGTATTGCTACCTCTTTTAGTGAAGTCAATGTTGACATAGTCACTAGAGCCGTCAGCTTTTCTCTGCTCATGTGTGGGCTTTTGTGTTTTTGGCTTGATTTTATCCCCTTTTGTAATAAAAGAAAGCCGGTTAGGTCTCTTAGCTTTATTTTTTGGGGACCCATCATCTAAAGGCTTTGAAGGTGACCCCCCATCTACATGTCTTGAGAATGACCCCTCAACTGAAGGCTTCAAAGCTGCATCTTTGGGACCCCAATTAAATAAGGCATCTTTGTCTAGGCCCCTCCCCAGGAACTTTCCAGGTAACATTGGTACATACTCACTGCGGTCACTCTGTCCCAAGGGTGAGCTCTGAAAAGGATTTGGCAGAGTGAAGTAGGAGCTCCAACTTTTGGAGGAAGAGCCGCCCTGAAGATTTCTAGAGTTTTTTGGAATTGCACCGGCTCCAGGAGCCATAAACATGTAGTCACTCTCACTGTCGTTGTCCTTTGAGTCATCCTCTTTGTTAGCATCGGGTGATTTTGGAGGACTTGGGGCAGGTGGTGGATTCACTCTAGGAAACATCATCATGTACCCTCTTGAATCTTCAAAAGGTGACTGAGAGTGGCGCTTTTTTGAATCAAAAACATTTTGCGGAGCCATTGGCATATAATCACTGGAGCATGCGAGAGGGGCAGCTACTCCTGGCCTCATTGGCACATATGGGTCATCCTCATCTTCGTCAAAAGCTCTGGCTCTATGGGGACCCCAAGCTGCACCTTCTGGGGTCTCTGCATCTTTCACTTCTTTGGCTTCTTTGTGTTCCTTTGTGGCTCCTCTGTCAGCACAGAAATAAAGTCGGAACCTTCCTCCAGACTTCCCTTTTCCACCAGTTGCTCCAGCTGTTGGGGATGGAGTTGGGGGTGGTGGGGGTGGTGGGGGTGGTGGAGATGGTGGCGTTTGCTGTTGCTTACTTTGAGTTAATTTGCCAAAGTAGGATCTTTTCTTCACAGATTTTCCACGTTCACCATCATCATCGGAGCCTTTCCCACCTCCTGAGCCCTTACCCCCTCCAGAGTTCTTGCCACCGCCAGAGCCATGGCCATCCCCTGGTTCCTGGCCATCACCTGAGCCATGTCCACCTCCGGCTCCCTGGCCACTGCCTGAGCCGTGGCCACCTGTGGTGCCCTGGCCATCTCCTGAGCACCGATTTCCTCCTGCGCCATGGCCTCCTGACCCCTGGCCACTTGAGCTCTGGCTGCCACTTGAGCCCTGGCCACCTCCGGATCCCTGCCCCGTGCCTGAACACTGGTTTCCTCCTGAGCTCTGGCTACTGGAACCTTGGCTACTGGAGCCCTGGCCACCTCCTGAGCCTCGGCCATTTCCCGAGCCCCAATTGTTCATGGGCATGTAGTCACCTCTGCTTCCTTCCTGACCCTCTTTGTCCCGAGGATTGCCTTCCTCCCCAGAATTGCCAGAGCCGGAGCCAGATGCTTCAGAAGACATGCAAGCTCCGTCGCTGGGGGCTTCTGCAGGGTGCGGGGTACGTACCGGGCTGAGTGTTAAGCGGCGAAAAAAGCTGGCTGGCACTGAAATCGCTCTCTTGGACCTGCGCGCTCTGGGCAGGGGGAGTCTTCCACGCCTGGAGGGGGCCGCAGGCTCGCTGGGTGTCATAAAGCGCCTGGTGAAGAGCATCTCATCTTCCCCGTCACCGATGGCCCCGAGGTGGCATAGTTGCCCAAAGCGGGACCTTCTGAGCCAGCCGCCGGGTTCGATCGGCAGCAAGCCCAGGTGCCTCCTAGTGGACAGCAGGGTTAACAGGTGGGCTCCGATGCTGATGCTGTAGCTGCGGCAGCGGGCTCTGTATTCATCTGCACACAAAGCTTTCATCTTCTCCAAAAACAGCTCGTGCATGTTTTGGGCCACCACACGGTCATCGACCTGCATCCAGAGTTCCCCCGGACCGATGACGGTGGACCTGCCAACTTCCAAGAAGAAATACTGCTCCGAGTGGCCGCAGCGACGGATGCTCAGGAGCTGAACAACCACGCTGGCCACTTCGGTGTTCAGCCTCACAAACACGACCTCCTCGTCGGTAAGACACAGCCGGAACACGCCGCTCAGCTCTTTTCTGTGCCCCAGCCCCCTGGGTTTGACTGTTACCTGCCACACATCTTTGTAGAAGGGTGGCTCCGCCGCCGCTGGGGCCGCCAGCGCCGCCGGCTCTCCGTCCG